TCTGTGCTAAATAACTTTGCCATCACACTCAACTTGATAATGGATTGACTGCAGGCCCGCCCCTTCCTACACGCAGATCACGCAGACTGCGTGGGGCCTCAGCTCGGGGAGGGGGCCTCACCTCGCGGAGGGGGCCTCACCTCGCCGAGGGGGCCTCACCTCGCGGAGGGGGCCTCATCTCGCGGAGGGGGCTCATCTGATGCGCAAATGCGGCGCAATTAAGTGCGTTACAGTTTCACCGCAGCAAGGCTCTGGTGCTCCCAGTTCACGCGCGTGCCCCCCCGCCCCCTGAATAACATTGTCGGTGATAACAGGTATTTTTGTGTGTAGCATGGTGTACTATACTCAGTTCCTGGAGGTCAGTCTCCTCGCCTCCCTTCTTGCTGGCTTTGTTGAACAGTCTGATCCCTGTGACGATCATGGTGAGCTCTCTGAGCTGCTGCTCCTTGTCTCTCTTCAGGAGGACCATGAAGGCTCCCAGCTCAGTCTGAGGGAAGACGCTCTGCAGGGCGGCTGGAACACAACACTCAGAGTCAGGATACACTCAAATCAGCCTGAAAAGCTGGCAAGTCACCTTTTGTAAAATGTTCAACATTTAAACACGAGCATGCCATTTCTTGTTTACAAGGCAACGCTTGATTATAAAGCTGAGAGCAACTCAAAGTGCGTATTGATAACAGCTCGTATGGATGAGAGGGTTGCAGGGCGGCAGCTTTGAAAGGTCGGCTGTGTTTCCTATGTCTACTTATTTTGCTTGTGTATATGTCATGTAATGCTACTCATTGCCAATTAGTGGGGTTTTTTAGTTATCTTTTGTCTAATTATGTTTTTGTTTGTTTAGTAAGGGAGCTGTACTGTATGTATGTTCTTTCACGTGGTACAGTATGTTTGTGTGTTGTACCATGTTGTTCTGTGTTTCTGCCTTTTGATCACAAAAAATCTAAGTCATTCAAACTAGCTGCACCTTTACCAGTTTTGATAACACTTAAATGCATCAATAATTATAATCAGAACATATCATATTATTTTGAAATGGACCAATCTGCATGAGTCCTTTACTTTTGGTACTTTAAGTATATTTTGATACTAATACTTCTTAATATTATTTGAGTAACATTTTGAATGCAGGACCTTTACTCGTAACAAAGTATTCCTACACTCTGGTACTTCTACTTTTACTCAAGTACAAGATCTGAGTACTTCTCCCTCCTCTGATTGATTGACTGAAACATTGCTTGTTAATTTTTTAAGTGGCACCGCCCTTTAGCCTGCATTCCAGCCAGGTGTTATGCTGTCACTGCACTTTAACTGCCAACAGTTCCCCAGAAACTGGAAAGACTTTGGGAAGTGAAACCTGTAGCCTCTTTCAGGGCGGTGTCATCTGTAGGTGAGCCCATGCCGGAGCGCAGCTGGATGTACGTGATGATTTTACAATACAAGGCGTCAAATTCCTCTCGTGTTTTCACTCTGCTGTCAGTGATCTCTCTGCTCACTGAGCTCAGCCTGGACTCCAGCACCCGGTGGATCTCCTCTAGAAACTCTCCTGCACAAACACAAGTACCTGCTTAGTCCTGAGTTTCATCTTTAAGAGTTAAGAATAAAGAAATCTAATTATTTCCAAGCAAAAGCCATTCGGGGAAAAAAACATTTGTTATACGTATGCTCCCCTTAGGCAGATCTTTCTACAGTCAGAAGCCTGTGCACAGCTTATTGATGAAGACAGGTAAAAAGAGCATTTCTATAAACCAAACACGACCAAATAAAGGCCTAAGCCTAAATACAATCTGAGCTGTACCTGGAACAATACATTGAATTGAATGATCATGTTTAAGCTATGTGCTTGTAATACCTGTTCAAAATATAAAAGTCTTGACCGATTTTAAATAAAAACATTTGGTTTTAACATCTAGACAGTTCTTTACAGAGTGCATCACTTCAAAGGAAATATGCTTAGGTGTAAAGTGAGGCAGCAGGATTTACATCAGGGTGATTTGGTCATATTTAGATTTTTGATTTCAGCATGGTTCAACCAACCTGCGTACAGAAGTGACAAACATATATAATGCTCTTCACGCTTACAAACGAGTGGTAGAATTAACTATCTATCAGCAGCAACCATTTTGATAATAAATGTATTGTTTAAGTCATTTATTAAAGACAAAGATAAATATGATCTCTGTTTGCTGTTTTATTGGGATTTGTAAAGTTGGTTGGGCATTTCTCCCTCATTTCAGGTACAGACGTGAACATCGTTGTTTAATCAAACAAATGATCCCAAAAATGAATTGATCATTATCACTACTTATTAAAAGGATCAACCCATGCACCAGAAACTCAATTCACAATGACAAAGATGGCATTAGTTCGTGGGTAACACTTACGCCGGGAGGTGTAATTCATGTCGAAGTGCACTTGCATTTTGATTGTGTCTAGGGACGGGCTGCACTCTTCCATCAGTTTACCCAGACACAGCTGCAGGATATATTGCAGATGAATATTAGAAACACAAGACAGCATGTTGAAACGGTTGCTTCCAGCCCTGTGAACAGCATCATGTTCTAGCTGGCAGTGTGGAGACGGCTGGTAAACACTTCACTTGTTCACATTGTTCTCTTGTCTTACATAGTAACACTACTCAAAAAACATCTCATTGATATGTATTTTCTCTTGGAGACGTAAGGTCAGATAGCTTTTATGTGAGTATATTGGGATACTCACATCACAGGTAACTTGTCATTGTAACAGGATACATGTTTAAAGCGACCCTCCCAACCATGTTACGAACTCAAATTGGGCTGTCGGAGTGAAGTCCAGTTTAGTATCTCACCTCTTCCAGTTTCTGGACATCTTGTTTGGTCAGTGTTCGATCAACATTGAAACAATTCCTTGGGTCCAGCACAACAGCTTTCACCTCAAAGAAGAAGAAAAGAACGTTTTCAGTTTGGAGTAAAGAGTCACCTATGGGTGCCAAGCTAGGATAAAGAGGAGCGTTTAAAGACATGATATCCTTACAGGCAGTTGGGAAAAGTACATTTACTCAAATACTTTACTTAAGTACATTTTTGAAGTACTTTCAGAGTTTCTCCTGGGTTTACTGCTTCGAGGGGGGGGGGGGGGTTAGGGTTAAAATATCTTTCTATTACTCCACTAAATTACATTTAAAACACGTTAGCTACTTTTCAGAACGTTTACATAATGCATCTCTAAAATAATCCACAAGCGGACTAACTGTGTAAGGTACGAATTTGTAAAATGATCCTAAATATTAAAAAAAGTCAATATTTTTTTGTTATAGAACTTTGTTTGTTTACAAGAGTCAAATGCTACTTGACGCGACAACATTATTTCATAGTCATAAACAATAAAATATCTTTCTATTACTCCACTACATTACATTTAAAAAACGTTAGCTACTTTTCAGAACGTTTACATAATGCATCTCTAAAATAATAGACAAGCGGACTAACTGTGTAAGGTACGAATTTGTAAAATTATCCTAAATATTAAAAAAAGTCAATATTTTTTTGTTATAGAACTTTGTTTGTTTACAAGAGTCAAATGCTACTTGACGCGACAACATTATTTCATAGTCATAAACAATATATATACCCGCATATACATGAATGCAAGCTTTGTTTCAATGAGCATGGTCAAATGGAGACCACATCCATAACACTAGTCAAGATGACCCTACAGCCCGTGCCGACTGGAGTCAATGAGGTACTTTTCCCACTACATTGACTATAAAGTCTTTGAAGATCTGGAAAGATTCACCAAAAACAAACTCGTTTTTTATTGACCAAATAAACAGCAATGTTCAGATAAATTACTTATTTATGTTTTAAATAAAGGTGAATGTATTAATATCACTCTATAACCATAATACGTTACATAGTCTATCTGTTCATTCTGGCTGTCTTTTCAAATGAAAATGGTCCTGGCGGCCTCTACAGTGGACATACTGTAACATTTAAAAATTAAATTAAAAAAAAGTCTAAATTGCAAGATGTTTTTTTAATCCTAAATAGGTAGGAAATACAAAAATAAAGAAGATTGGAAAACATTTGTTTTCCTCGGTTCCCAGGAGGATATATATATATATATATATATAATAGTAAATCACACATGGAGGCAATTCTTTCAGAATTAATACTTTATATACTTTCCCTACATTTTGCTGTTGTCACTTCTGCGCTTTAACTTAAGTAAGATTATGTATTGGTACTTGTACTTCAGTGAAGAATTTGAATACTTCTTCCACCTTACTGATTACAATGTGTAAGTAAGAACTAAGGTACTAAAGCATTAACATACAGCAGGCCTTGGCTGACGTCACTGGTAAAACTAACTCTCGGTAGCTAACTTGACTAGCATGTAAGTAAACACTTTACTGACCATGAAAGCGACCAGAGTGTCCGACACCGCGTGCCCTCTCGCGGCACACTGCTGCACTATCTCACGGATAATGTTTTTAATCACGCTCTCTGCGTGAGCCCCAGACATTCTGACCGACAGAAAGTTATTTAACTACCCTAGTTTTAATGTGTGCTGATACAGCTAACGCGGCATCAAAAGCTGCCTGTTGATAACTGGTTGCCGTGGTAACATTGCGTGCACACTGAGGGATGTATTACTTGACACCCCCGTGTCCACTAGAGGGCGCTATAATCTAACTGTTCCTGTTTTTGCAAGACCAAGGTGGATTTCAAGACTGACTCATGTCTGAATGCCTTGTTGGGATGTGTGATGAAGTAGATTCCTCCTCAGATATTGGAGTTAAGTACAGTTCTGAGGTAGAAATACTTGTACTTTAACTAAGTAGTTATCTTTCACTACATTTTGGAGGCTAATATTGTACTTTTTACTTCACTAGATGTATATGACAGGTTTAGTTGGTTCAGATTCAGATTAAGCTAATACTAAACATAAACAAACTAATAAATAAACATTGACACACAATTATAGGTTTAAATATCCAGCAACAGTATACAAAGTAATTTAAATTTCAAAGTCATTTCAATTAACTCCATCTTTACCAACCGTGATGCATCAACAATCATAATACAGTCGTTTAGTCTGAAATGGGCCATTAAGTAGGCTACTTTTGGTACTCAATATGTATTGATGCTATATATTGATAGTGTTATTGACTTAAGTAACATTTGTAATGCAGGACTGTAAATTAAGGGGAAGCTTTTATAATTTAGTATTACTACTTTTACTTATACATCTGAGTACTTATTCCACAACTGTCTAAAGTTGATCAAAGTAACACCATTACATTTTATTCTTGGCAGTATGATGTACTGTAATATTTCATTTCTCACTTTGTGCAAAAACACATTTTAAAGAATCAGTCCAGTAGCATTAAAGCCATAGAACCTGATCAGTAAGGTATTGCGTAACATATTCAATCTAACAAATATACATGACACTTGCAAAATAATTGTTAATACATCTGCCATAAACACTATTGTTTGAATGTTTTTTAGTTTTTTTTTGCTGGCAATACAGAGGGTTGCTGTGATTTCCAAGTTTGAAACTAGTTTTGAGTTAGTGCCAATAACAGAGGGCCTCAAATATATATATATATATTTTTTAAATATCAAATCCGCCTCTGCGGTTATTACCATGGTGAGGTAGCTCTGACACTGAAGCTAGAAGCCAAAACAACAACATTTGTTTAGCTAGATGTTAAGAGGAATTTTAATTAAATCAGTTATGATTTAACAAGTACATTAACTGAGTGGAGCAAGTTATTTTAAAATCAAATGCAGTGCTTTACACTAAATTAATATGATTAGTACAAATTTCATTTCAACTAGAGTATTTCATTTTGATGTGAGTTTTAACCCCAGATGTAACAAAGAGGCTGTCTGCAGAACAAAAAAGGGACAGCACAAAAGAATAAGGATTAAAATATTTATTGTTATAAAAAACAAAAACAGACTAGACATAAATACTATGGTTTTGTTCACATGATTACCCTGTGCTTGGAGAGACAACACATCTTAAAACATAAAGACAAGAATACATGCACAAAAGGCTCAAATAAACAACATGCAACTACATGCAAATGATAAACAGTCAAAAAAGAACATAAGAGTATAAATATACACAGGTTCGGCAGAGGGCTTTAAGGATCCACGGTGAAAAATAAAAACTTACACGTTTTGGCACTGTTGGCACACTTCACTGATATCGACACTACTGTACAAGTTTAAAAAAATCCACACAAACACGGTTTTCATCTCAGATAACATTTGAGAAAAAACAAACAAATGAGTGGCAATACACTGCACTCAAATAGAAAACTTTAGACACCACACTGTACCTGCAGCAGTAGCATTAACATCTGCTGATTCAACAGACTGAGATCAAGTGACAGGCACAACACGTCCATACTGTACATCACATCTTCCTCCATGGATCTGCACTTCCTTACCAGATACATACATATGTTCTAACCAAAAGTTGACTTAAGTGCAGGGTCATGAAACATCTGAGTAACACAGGACTCAGCAGTTTTCTAGAACACATGCTTCTTATAACACAAATCCACATTTCATCCCTCCTGTAAATATTACTGCAATAGTAAGTGGTTTTGTTCAAATATGTTTTTGCTTTGATTTGGAATTACTAGGGCCACTGCTAGGGAAAAAAAACATGTAAGAAATTGAGAATAAACTATTACATCCCAAAATGTTCAATCATGAAAAATACTTTGAAAAACATCAGGATATAAACACAGGAAAAAAAACTTAAAAAGTAATCATTTTTGAGGAAAAAAGTTGTAATGTTACAATAAAATGTAAAAAAAAAATAGTAACATTTCAAGAAAAAAATCTGGGAAAAAGAGCAACATCATGAGCACTAAGTCATGGTATCATGAGCACTAAGTCATGTATCATGAGCACTAAGTCATGGTATCATGAGCACTAAGTCATGGTATTATGAGAACATATTTGTCCTAACATTGGCCCTAAAACTCATTGTAGAAATGATTGAATGTCCGTGCAGCTGTGTCATTGTGAACATGACACAGCTGCACTGGCCCCGGTTTCCAAATGAATGCAACCATCACCATGTCTAACACACAAAGACAGTTTGTTGTAGCAAATTAATAAAAAAATTGTTGAATAAATACACCATAATTTGATATTAGATTAATACATATTTTTGGAGTCAGCATATTTAGTTCTCCTCATGTCCCTCATATGCTTATCCTGGAAACAAAGTTGGCAGACATCGATTAAAGGCCAGCATCAATTCTAGTCCAAAAAACATCAATAAACTTCTGCTTAAATTATTGAGACATATATATATATATATATTCCCAAATAGGAAACTTTAGACATAGGTCAAATGTATTGAGGGACAATAACATGGACTGACAGGAATTGTATGACACAAACTCCAGTTTCCTCCCTCCCAGGTTTTGTGGATCAAAGTAGAAAAGCCGTCAAAAGAGCAGCAGGTCAAGAGAAACCCTTGTTTCTCTTAAATGTTCACAAATGAGGATCCACACTAATGAAGAGAGGGTAAACTTAATACATAAAAAGACAAATATAAAAAAAAAGGGCTTATAATGAATGGCTCATACTATCCATGACACTGCATTAGAGCTGTGTGATATTGCACTTAACGTTCCTCAGGCCGTCTCAAAAGCACTTCCTGAAGACGATCTGCGGCCCGTGCTCCTCGTATTCCTTCTGGCTGATCCAGGCGGAGCTGAAGGTGGGCAGGTTGGCCAGCACTGCCCCCCCGCTCCACACTGAGAAGTCTCTGTCCTTGGGGCTGGTGACGTGAACGCTCTCCCCCGTGTCCGTGGGAACCAGTCCTTTGATTTCAGCCTGGAGCCGCTCAGGAAGGCCGGGCAGCAGAGTGTTTCCGCCTGCAGCGAGAGAAGGCATTCAGTAAAGAGTGGGACATTAAGAAAACTGAATCAAAGCATCAACACTACTGTGCAAGTTTTTAAAATCCATTCAGACAACATTTGAGAAAAACAAGAAACATTGGTGGCAATACACTGCACTCAAATAGAAAAGGTTAACTTTAGACAGCACACTGTACCTGCAGCAGTAGCACTAACATCTGCTGATTAGAACAGACTGAGATCAAGTGACAGGCATAACACATCCATACTGTAAATCACATCTTCCTCCATGGATCTGCACTTCCTTACCAGATACAGAAACATGTTCTAACCAAAAGTTGACTCGGGTGGAAGATCATGTAACATGACTCAGCGGTTTTCTAGAACACATGTTTCTTATAACGCAAATCCACATTTTGTCCATCTCCTGCAAATATTACTGCAACAGTAAGTGGTCTTGTTCAAATATACCGGTTTGAGCAAGAGAAATAATTCAGAAAAGAGCATCACGTTAACTGGAATGGGGGGGTTCAAATTCCTCCCATTTCCACCTTATAAGGATACAACCAAATAAAATAAATCACCAAATAAGAGGAATAAAAAAAAGTACTTGTACTGTAATTTCATGACTAGTTTAATTGACCACTCAATGCAATTTGTGCCTCCTGATTCTTTCTAATTTGACCAATGCATTCGGCAACTCTTAAAAAGCAAATACGGATGAGCCATAAAATCATATTCCTAAGTGTTGAAATCACGCTTTTAAGACCTTTTTCCGCATTCCATCTGCAAATAAACTTCATACTGAAGAGTCATTTCTTGTTCTGTTGTTATGCATCACTGATAGATTGTCACATTTATTGAAGATAAATAAATGTGGCATAAATGTACCGTTAGTGCTCCACAAAATTACATATACAACTTATTCCTCAGTTTAGAATATTTACCTCTCAGATTGACTACAAAGACAGTCTTTAAAATAACTTGTTAGTGAACAGCGGTATCTGCTGATTTCAAGCTTAAACTCTGAACATAAACAGTGTCTGCAGCCTAAGTAACCATGGCAATCTAGCCAGGTTAAAAGAGAGCCACTTAGGTACTATAGAAAACTCTGGCTTTAGGCTCATCATACCTCGCTCTGATCTGTCTTCATATTAAACCCCTCCTCAGGATTAAAGCATGGCAGCAGTCAGTGCAACAGCTTAACAACAACCCTCCGTTACCTGACAGGACGATGTTTCCCAGGAAGCTGCGCCGCAGGTCAATGTCTGAGCTGAGGATTGACTTGTAAACGCTCTCATGCATCCCATAATGGTCCTGTCCAATCAGCTCAGGTTTGAAGAGAATCTCAGGGGCCCTTGAGGAACAGGGGAAGTTATGAAGCTAGTTGAGTAGACTGTTAGAAGAGACATCTGCCCTCTGAAGTGAGCTTTGACATTATGATTGTACAGATTAAGTCAGATTTATCCTTAAACTGGTGATTCCTGTCCTGACCCATGTTAGAATCATGACAAACGTCAGCAATGCCTGGGAGGCAAGTTCACTTGAACCGCAGACTCTCAAGTTTCCAAGCCGAGTCCCCCACATGCTATTTAGCATTAGACACTAGCTGAATGTTCGTGTTACATGTTATGTTTTGTGTCAAACATCAAAGTACTGGATAGTAAAAATTACATGAAGATTGAAAGTCTTTCAATATGCTTTGCACTTTCAAGCAGTGGTGTAAGGTAACTAAGTACATGTACTCAAGTACTGTGCTTAAGTCAAAATGATGAAGTACGTGCACTTTACTTGAGTATTTCAATTATTTGCTACTATGTACTTCTACTCTACTACAATTTAGAGGTAAATGGTGTACTTTTACTCCACTACATGTATTTAATCCCTTTAGTTACTTTACAGATGTGGATGAATGATGTGAAATATAATCAAGTGTTAAATCAGACTTTAGTTCCACCTGGAGTAAATTCACAAGCTACCCTACAGTATACAAAGTCATTCAAACTAGCTGCACCTTTACCAGCTTT